AGTTCTGTTAGTCATCTGATGAAAGTCAGAACGAACCTAAAAAGTGATGATAATAAGATGGGTTACTATGAAGACCTATGAACATTTATCAAAATTTTTCTAGTGCAGGTTGCGTGGTGATGATTAAGTTGTTTGTATTATTAATTATTTTTTATTAATGTGATTGATAGTCTTCTGGTACATGATTAATCTAGATGACAGGTTATTTTTTTTTGCTAACTTCATATTAATTGTCTTGAATGTTGAATAAAACCGGACTTGTAGAAGAATTCGGTATTCGTCATGTTTTATTGGTATGCGAACGAAACATCTTTTAGATGTTTCTACATAGTGCTGTTAGTTGGCTCTCTATCTTTATATTACGAATTAGAATGAGATGATATATTAATAAAATGCATACTGCGAGTTTGGTAACGAAATGCTCGACTTTTTTTTACTATTTGGATAAAAATAAAAGTTTTACATAATTTTTTTTAAATATTAAAAGATGATTAGATTTTTCGATTTTAAGATACCAAAGGACAAGGAATATTATTTCAAAAGAAAATATTCTAATGTAAATTGTTTCAAATATTGTTTCATTATTCCTATTATGCGGTTAATTATCTGACTATTACTTTATTAGCAATGAGAATTATGTTCGTGTATATTAACATTTCAAGTATGAATCATGATTTTATTTATAAGAACCGATCGAAAAAGAAAATAAGAATGAAAGAAAGAAAAAAGAACTCTATTTGAGTAAGAAATAAAGTCCAAATATTTCGTCTTTTCGTAGCAGTTTTGTTGTATTTCATCCATCGGTTTTTGTTGACTTGATGGAACACTTGAAGGCAATCTTTTTTAATAAAAAACCAAGCCGGAGTTTTCATCTCTGCAGGTAAATCAGCTTTTTTATTTTCTAATATGTGACTTTTAAACAAAAAAAAACCAATATGAAATATCGATATAATGAGAAATATGATGAATTGTACTTAAAAAGCATAGATGTCGCTATAAACTATCATCTATTTTATTAAGTGAAATAAAAAATGAAATCTACGGTTTTCAAATGAAAATTCATTTAGATTTAGTGATAAAATTCAATAATTGCTTAAATAGAATTATTCAATATCGAAATATGATGACTTGTTTCTTTAAGCAAATATTGATTACTGTTCGTGACAAAAGGGAAACCTCTTGATAAAACACATCTTTTGCTTTAAATCAAAATCCTCTCAAAGTCTCTATATTTGCAGACACTTGTGAGTTTAAACCAAATGTATTTTTGAAGAAAAATTCTTAAAAATCTCTTTTGAAATAAGTCAAAACATTCAGAATAATCAATAAAAGCAATTATACGCTTAACGTATTGATGGCTGTTTAATGATGGCTCTTTGAGATTTCTGTAATTCATGTGCTTTCGTAACTGTATATTATATTTTTCTCTCTTATCAATCATTATCACTTTTCAATAGACATTTTTATACTACTAAGCGAGAAATGAATAACGTTGTCAGTAATTATTGTAGGTATATGTGTATGTAATATACAGGTGAGATCACCTTGTTGTTCACATAATTTGTTACTGGTAATATAATCGTTCGAGAAAACAAAAAGAGAAAAAAAATCGGTTTGATATTTTCGAAACGAGAGAATATTTCAATTTTTGTGTTCTTAAACGAAATCGAAGTATCATATAAACAAGTTCTTACTGCATTTAGAGAAGATATTCCAATACTGACACGACATCATGACGAAAAATCGAAAAGAGTTTCATCAAATACAGAAAAACGTGATAAAGAAGATATTTTAAAAGTAACAAGTCAACATAACCGGTCACGTTCGTTAGACGAACTTCATTCAAATGAAAATGGATGTATTTCAATAAATTCATCTGCTATTCGACGTCCATGGCATTGTCAATTATGTCAAACATTAAATCAAAATGATTCTCAAATATGTTCTCTTTGTGATTCAAGTAAAATCAATGTTTATATTCCTATTATGAATCATATCGGTAAAACAAATATTCAAAATCATGACCAAAATGATTCATCGATGCCAGACAGGTTAACTTTTTTTTTTATTAAAATAAGTATAAATTTTATATTAAATGTATAAATTGTTAATATAGTGATACAGTAAAATATCGTCATGAAAATTGGAATGATGAAAATCTAGTTAAACAAGAAAATATATATCGACGTAGTGTTCTTATAACATATAAACGTGAAGCTGATGAACATGTTATTTTAAAACATTTTGAAAAACTTCTTAATAGTGTAACCTTATCTCATAGTCGATTTAAAGATGAAACATTTCCAGCATCATTAGAATCACTTTATATTAATGGAAATTCTTTATCACAATCAACTTTAGCTCTTCTACCTGATCCACAAATGCATTTATCTCATCATAATTATATTCAATGGTTAAGACCTGATCAAATCAATCCACCTGAATGGAGTGAAAATGATAGGCATCAATGGACAGTTTTTAGAAATCCAAAACCAAATGATGTCATTCAAGGAGCTTTAGGTTTTTCAATATTGAGAATTTTTAAATTTTATTTTTCTTTTATAAAATATTTCAGGTGATTGTTGGTTTATTACCGCTTTGAGTGTTCTCGCTGAAAAGCCTGAATATTTAATGAAAGTAAGTTCGATATTTCTTCTTATTTGTTTCATTAAATCAATATAAATATTCAAAAAAAAAGGTACTTGTAACGAGAGATTATAATTATCAAGGTATTTATTATGTTCGTTTAT